GCGCCTTTCGTTGCGACGTCACTAGGCCTCGTTGAGCGATAACGTCAGTAGCGTCGTTTGAGCTTGCTCTCTTGCGGCGTCCCTTGGCGCGTTTTCTTGGCGCCATTCGTTGCGACGTCACTAGGCCTCGTTGAGTGATAACGTCAGTAGCGTCGTTGGAGCTTGCTCTCTTGCGGCGTCCCTTGGCGCGTTTTCTTGGCGCGTTTCCCATACAAAAATGGTCTATGGTCGGCTATAGAAAATCCTTTGTATGGCCGGCTATAGCAAATTGGCCCAATTAGCTATAGCCGTTTCTATGGCTGTCTATAGCTTTCCCTATGGTCTCCCCTATAGTTGTCTATAGCTTTTTCAATGGAAATTTTGCTATCGAATTCGGTATGGTTTAGTCTATGGGTCTTTTTAGAAAGGATGCTATAGCCGCCTATGGCTTTTCTTTTGGTTCCTTTAGCCGCCTACAGCATTTTGTATGGTCTGCTATAGAGATTTCTATGGCTTACTCTATGGATCCTTTTAGACACCGTGCTATAGCTGCCTATGGCTTTTTCTACGGTTTCTTTAGCCGTCTATCGCCCTTTGTATGGTCCGCTATAGCTCATTCTATAGCTCGTCTTATGGTTCTCTATACCCATCGTGCTACAGCTTTCTATAGCATTTCATATGGTCCCTTTAGCCGTCTATAGCATATTGTATGGTTTGCTATAGAAATCTCTATGGCTTACTCTATGGATCTTTTTAGACACCGTGCTATAGCTGCCTATGGCTTTTCCTACGGTTTCTTTAGCCGTCTATTGCCCTTTGTATGGTCCGCTATAGCTCAATCTATAGCTCGCCTTATGGTTCTCTATACCCATCGTGCTACAGCTTTCTATAGCATTTCATATGGTTTCTTTAGCCGCCTATAGCATATTGCATGGTTTGCTATAGAGATCTCTATGGCTTACTCTAAGGATCTTTTTAGACACCGTGCTATAGCTGCCTACGGCTTTTCCTATGGTCTCTTTAGCCGCCTATTCCTCTTTGTATGGTCCGCTACAGCTCATTCTAAAGTTCGTCTTATGGTTGTCTATACCCACCGTGCTACAGCTGCCTATAGAATTTTCTATGGTTCCTTTAGCCACCTATAGCATCTTGTATGGTGTGCTGTAGAAATCTCTATGCCTTACCCTATGGATCTTTTTAGACACCGGAATCATAGAAAAAGCCTATGGCTTTTTCTATGATTTCTTTAGCTGCCTATTGCTCTCTGTATGGTTTGCTATAGCTTCTATATCTCGTCTTATGAGTCTCTTTACCATCGTGCCATAGCTGCCTGTAGTTTTTCTTTTTACCGCAATCGTATGAAATGTGAAACAAATTATTTGTTGTCACTGGACATCTTTAAAAAAAAAACCTTGTGAGACGTGCCGAACTTCATAGCCCCATTTAAAACAAAGAGCTAACATTTCAACAAAACAACAACAAAAAACAAATGCACTCACTCAGGTGTTTGCAAAAGCGCAGATAAACAGACACAAGGTATTGTTTTCAAATCTCCTAGAAGTTTATTACACACAGCCCATTCTGTAGACAAGCACACACTAAGCAATCTCTACTATGTGAAGAGGTACTACTGAGCTGTTATACAACTGAGAATATTGTAAAGCAAACAAGAACCAAAGGCGATTCCTGGGTAGTGTCTAGTCCCCCGGCAGCCGGCCGAATTCCCCCCCCCCCCTTTCCCCCCGAAATTCGAATGCCAGTCGCCACTCATTGGCGCTGCAATCAGTTTATCAAAAGACGTTTCATCGAGATCGTTTCGTCAACACGTGACGTTCATAAACAACTCAAAATATGTTTTTTTTTTTTTGCTTGTTTTTTGTAATGATTTCCCAAGAAGTGGCGTGAACGGGTGGGCTGAGTCGGTGAGCACGCGCCTCAGGAATACAGGCGCGACGAAATGTCCCTGCAGCGTGCAATTCGCGTAACGAGTGCCGACTAAACGTGTGTCCATGAAGCGTCTATCCACAAAAAGGTGTCCATGAAACGTCTTTTCACAAAAAGCAGAGAGAATAAGAATGTCAGTATTCTAACTACAATTTTCACATGATTTCAGAGAGCTAATGGCAGGCGACTGCGGTAGAATTACGGGGAAATTATTCTCCCAGCTGTCAGAAGATAGGCACTGCCAGGAGATAGACACTACAGAACGGTCAATTGTCGCCGAGTAGGTTGCAGCGCACTTACGTTCAAAATACCGGACTTGAAAGATGTAATCCGAAATATACGTCGACACGGGCACTGCAGACCAACCACTCAAACACAAAACCGAGAAGGAAGGGATCCGTGAAGATTCACCACGATGTAGCACAAGCTGTCATTTGCCGAACCGAACACTGAACGCATCACAAGAATGTCTTGGGCTTCTTTGAAGAAATCGCTTGTTGCCGACATACGGGTAGGACTTTTCGATCGGGATACCTTTTAACATAGAAGCGAAATCCACAGCAGCCCCGCGGACCGCACGACACGCGAAACTAGGTCCGCAAGCAGCTTCATTCCGGGATTGGCAGCGGCTATTACGTCATCCGTCAAACCACGTGATCACGCTCCTTCCGTTACATGCTCACAGAGAGCGGAGTGAAGCGATAGAAAGTCTACGGTTGATTGGTCCGCCGAGTCCGCACCTTCTGCAATGCTTTTAGCTTAGGGAGAGAGAGAAAACAGAAAAATTGAAAAGCAGAGCTCCTTCAAGGCCAGAACGGGGGTGCGATCACAAAGACTAATCCTCAGGGGCATACCAACAATGAACACAGCGAGAGAATGTGTCACTTATATCCTGTTGACAGTTCGAGCCAAGGTTGATAGTGCAGTGGATGCTATGTGTGGCCTTGGGCTTAAGGCAGGTGCCGTGTCCAGCGTTATCACCAGCTTCGAGACAGTTGTCACGGGACCCTAACCGGAGACATGATTGGCCTTAAACACGCATAGCGTCTACTCTGCTGTCACTACCGAGTGAACAGGACAGCTCCATGAAGGCCCCCCAGCTTTTGGACTTCTTTCTAAAGCTGCACTTCCCAGAAGTGACCCAAAACGAGGCATGTTTGAAGATATCATATTTTACGCCTTTTAGCCCACATTCTAATTCAAAATGAATAATTAATGGCGAATACCTTCTCTTTGCGCAGGATGTCCACAAATAAATAAATAAATAAATAAATAAATATATATATATATATATTTTTACCAAGCACTTTTGAATTATGTGTACACTGTTAGGTTCGCATTTTTAAACGTCAATTTTGGGAATCTTTGCATGGTTGTGGCATCTATGATTCAGTGGTTTAAGAAATTTGTGCCGTAATAGGTTTTTCATCCGTGAGTTCAGTCTATATCACTGCCATCAATTACAATCTCTGAGCACCATGATGACTCATGGTGGGGATGTGTGCTCCAAGAAGCTCCAATGAGTTTAATGTCTCATAATTTAAAGAAAAAGAAGAAAAATTAGCCACAGCGCTTGCTGATTTGTTGAATTCGCAGAACAGAAAGATAATAGGACGCACCTAGGGTAGCGCGTGCCTAATGATATTAATTTTTTTTCGGCTGTTATTTTTGTATATTTCGCCGTTCTCGACATGGGCGTTGACGGACATTGCACCGCTGCTTACGCCCCTGCCGGGGTAAGCTTTTTTGTTGTCACGACACTCTATCGCGCTATAGGCGAGTCGATTTAACGCTCATGAAGTCTCGAGAGAACTGTGAATTGTTTAGTCAGAGCAACGACGCAGCAATCGCGAAATGAGAGACGACTGCGTGGGACTCTCGAGCAGCGTTAACTTGCTGATGATGCAGGGCGCTGCTTTGTCGTTGAGATTCTTTGTCCTGCGAACGCCGGCGAAAACGTTCCAGTGCTCGGCGTACCCTAGGCAGCAGCGCCTGTCAGCGACCGCCCGCGCAGCATCGCAACCTTTCTGGAGCCTACTGGCAGTTTGCGAGCGCCGACGATTTATCGTTGCGACTTGAATGGAAGCATTTTATGAACTCCTGCGGTGAACATGAAACACCGCGAACATGAACTCCCGCGAACATAATCCCCGCGACGGCGAACCGCCGGCGCTCGCAGACGGAGGGTTCCGATGCTGTGCGAATGGTTGTTGGAGGACGCTGCGTAGGGTATACGCCGAGCGCTGGAACGGCTTCGCAGCCATTCGAAGGGCAAAGGATTCGCGACGACCAAGTAGTGTCTTGCATCTTCAGTAAGCTAACGGGGCTCGAGAGTCCCAAGCTTACATTTCCACAGAGCGAGCGCGGCCGGTTAGATTGAGGCGCAGTCAGCACTCGCGTCGCGATTGCTACGTCGTTGCTCTGCCTACACCGATGACATGTGCACCGGCATTCGAAACCGCCCTCTCGAGACTTTATACGAGTTCAATAGGCGGCTTTATAGCGCGATAAACCGTCGTGACAAGAGTAAAGCTCACCTCTGTACACTCTCAGAAAAAAAGGGTGTATATGGGTGTATCGCGCACCCTTACACCCCCCTTCGACTGGAGACACCCGGCGAGCGTAATCGCACTCCCATCACGCGAATCCTCCTCTCCCAAAGGAATCGGCGGGCGAGGCGAGGGTGTTGCCAGGTGCACCATTACACCCCCCCCCCCCTTTCCTTTTTCAAAAAGGGGAGAGGGAGTGCTATCAGGAGAGCGCAAGAAAACAAACAAAATGCGCGCGGTAATAGAGTAGAGCGCGCGTCCTGTTTAGCAGTCACTGGTTACACGTCATCCGACTGACAACCTATCGCGATAGCGATCGCGTTTCGCGCGCTATCTGGCCTTCGTGTTGCTAGGAGACTTGACCTCCTCACCTCCTGCATTCCATCTCGGCGTGCTTCGGCGGCCATACTTTTGCTTCGGCTGGCGGGTGACATCGCCTTTGTTCATTGGCGCTATTTTGAATTGCGTGTTTTCTTAGAAGGTGGTTGGACAAAGCGGATCGTGTTCACGAAGCGATGCTTGGCACGTAGCTGCAGTCACAAACCAAGATGTGCCCGCCCGATAAAGGTAAGTCTGCCGTTTACATGCACTCGTTGGATGCTGCGTTTTGCGAGGCATGGGGCCTGCTAGCTGGGGACGTACTTTCCTTTTTCTCCTGTTTATGTCAAAGTTTCTTCGCTTTTGTATTTGTGGCATGTGCGCGCGGTGGCGGTGCCCGGTTCTATGAGTGTACAAACAAGCACGACATCGCAGCTTCGAGACATTATTCTTGCGTGTAGAGCTGGCGTCATTCAGAGCAACGAATCTCTATCGTTTCGCCAAAAAAAAAAAAAACACTTTTTGTGGACAGATGTTTTATGGACTCTCGTTCGTCGGCACTACCGTTCCACCGACAGTCGTTACGCGGATTTAGCGTTGTAGGAACATTTCGTCGCGGGTGTATCCTACACGCACTATCCGCTTCGTGGCAACAGTGTGAGGCAGCTCCTTACAGAAAAAAAGGTAGTTTGTGCTGTCGATGAAGCATTCTGGCGATGAATCATCGCGTATCTATAAAACGATCTGTCGGTGAAACGTAGTTCGATTGCAGAGCAACATGCTCGCGCTTGTTACCGGCTTCGCTCGCACGTATGGTTATGCAATGCGATTTTCAGTGGGAATGATGGAACTAAGGTGGCGCTTCGGGACAAGGCAGTTAGAGTTATTTTATAGATTCCCTACGGGAGTCAGAGTTGCGCATTCATCTTCGTAGCGCCGTCTTTCGTGCACGGCATGTTGATCCAGCTCCTCATGCGACTTTTGGACCTCTTGGCGATTATGTGCTGCCACCTCGACACGAGGCTAAGTGTCGAGAAAATAACGCGCGCGCAAGGCCTCTCCCACCCGTTCGACACCCAAAACGTCAGCTACATCCTGTTCAACCATTGAGGCGCTGTGACCTAGATACTGCTCCCCCAAACTCGCCTTTGTCCCCATCGTGCGTAATCTTCCGCCCCCGAGGTCGACACAACGAAACCATATTCTATCCCTGCTCGGCCACTACGAAGAGGGAGAGGGTACTGGAACCATTGACTCTCGAGGCGCGCGGCGCGCTCAAAAGCAGGGGTGCGTACGGCGGGGCGCGTGCAACGTTACTTTCTTGCACGGTACGTGGTCGGATCTCGGCAAATAGCGGCGCGGCGGCACGTAGAAAATAGACGCGCAACTCTGGCTCCTGTAGGGAGCCTATACAGGAACTGGTACTCTAGTGCTGCATTGAGATTAAAGGCTCCAGCCAGAGTTGCGCGTCTGGTTTCCACGTGCCGCCGCGCCGCTATTTGCCGATATCCGATCACGTGAGGAGCAGACTCCAAATGCCGTGCAAGAATGCCACCGGTACGGCGGCTTCGCCGACGGTGCAAGCGCCTCGGTGTGCATATTCCCGCTTTTGCCTCCTCCTGTCCTGTTTTCCAGGAAATGAGGAGGTAGAGCGCGGCGGCCGCTATTCCCCGAATTCAGTCACGTGAGGAGCAGCCTTGAAGTGCAGGAAAGCCGGAGCTACTGGGATGAACGCGCAACTCCTGACTCCCGTAGGCTGCCTCTGCAGGAACTCTAGGGCAGCATGGAGTTCCTGCGTAGGCCACCTTTGGATTTGGATTTGGATTTGGATTTAGTGGCGTCCCTTTGTAACGGGTGGCCGCTCGCCGGAAGTTCCGGCGATGGCCTGCCAAAAAAAAAAAAAAAAAAAAAGGCTTGCTTAGTCTGGTTTCTAGCCAAGTCTAGCCGAGTTCTTGTTGTGGTGGAGCTTCGGTCGGGTCCTCGGTGTGGGGCAGGTCGACTTGGGCGGAAAACATCGGTTGTCCGGCTTGCGCTTGCACGTCCGGCCCAGCTCGCCTCTCTCTCTTCCACAGCCGCCAGGAAATCTCCCACCACTGCTCTAGTCGGCGCTTGGTGGTCTCGACGTGTTCCTCGCCGTCATCCCCCCGCTCCGCCGTCCGGAAGCCCAGCGCGTCCGGCAGGTGGTCCACCTGGGGGCACGGGCTGAGGGCCTTGCACTGCAGCACCAGATGTTCGGTTGTCTCTTCTGCTGCTCCGCAGGCGACGCAGGCGATTGGGGCCCCAGCGTCATATCGCGATCTCCACAGCCTGGTCTTGAGGGTCCCCGTTCGTGCCTCGAAAAGCAAGCCGCTGCCCCTGGAGTCATCATACAGCTGCTCCCGCTCGATCGCCCGCTTCGAGGCCGCATACACAGTCATTGATGGTTTTCGTGTGGCCGACTTCGTCCACCTTCGCGTCTCGACCTACCGCACGTGCTTCTTGAGGTCCGCAACTCCCTCTCGGAGCGGCCGGCCGTCCAGCAGGGTCGGTGGTACCTCATACTTCCCCGCGAGCCTGGCCACCCGTTTGGTCAGGCGCGTGTTTACACTCCTGTACACGAGGTACTTAAACACCCTCCTGGCCCATCGCTCCTCTCCGAGGCCGCAAAGACGCCTCTAGTACGACAGCTTAGCCACCGCTTCCCTCGACTCAAAAGCAGACCATCCGAGGTCCCCATGCACCCCTTCGTTTGGAGTCCCCCTGTGTGCCCCGAGTGCCATCCGTCCCGCCTCCCGCTGTCTAACCTCTAGGAACTCCCGAGTCTGAGACGACGTGCACAGTACCCGATTCGCAAAAGTCAGTCCGGGCACCATCACCATCTTCCACAGGCTACGAGCAACCTCGTAGCGGTCGAAAGCCCACATGGACGTTGCTGCCAGCACTCCCTTTCCCCTCATGGCCTTTGCTCGGACAGCCGATTCATGTGCTTGGATGTAGTTCCTACCCGTGGACAGGTGTACACCCAAGTACTTGTAGTCCGTGACGGTAGCCAGAGCAGGGTTGCCAGGTATTTGCAGATTAACCCGTCAGAATTTCCTGATATTGTGCCCAAGAATAGCCAAATGTCGGGCTATAAAAATAGCCCAACACATAAAATTTCCTGCAAGGTATTTACATTTCTTTGGAACACGGGTAACGTGATACATGACATAAGACAATTATTTACAGAAGAAGGCAATAAGAGGATAAAGCGTCCCCATGTATATTTTAGTGCAGCGAAAGAAGGGGGTTCTCAAACATCTGTTAAGCTGCCCCCTCTCCTCTTCCTCCCTCCTTCTGGAAACACGTGCCTCCACCCCTGCCTGCGGTATTAAATCGTGCCAAAAAACTTCAGAAAAACGATATTGCACCTCCGCAACCAACACCAATGAGGGTCCACATATTGTATTTTCACGCTTCTAATTTGGATATTTTCCTTTCCTAACCCCTTGAGTTGATTGTTTTTCTCTACCCGGCACAGAAATATCATGTTTAAGGCTTTGAAAATTGTTGAATATCGGGTATGAAATAGCTTAATATCCAACCACCAGATTTTCCCGCCTATTACAAAACTGAGTAGCCCAATCGGGCTGTTTATAATTATAACCCAACCTGCCAACCCTGAGCCAGAGCTGCGCGTTCACCCCGGAGCACCGGCTTTCCTGCATGGGACAAAATTCTGCTCCTCATGTCACTGGATTGGGCGAATAGCAACGTGCTCCATCTCCTTTCCTGGAAAACAGGAAAGGAGGAGGAGACAAAAGCAGGGGAACGTACACTGAGGAGATGCAACGTCGGCGAAACGGCCGTATCGGCGGCTTTCCTGCACAGTATTTGGATTTTGCTCCTCACATGATCGGATCTGGGCGAATAGCGGCGTGTCAGCGTGTGGATAACAGACGCGCAACTCTGACTCCCGTAGAGAGCCTATGCAGGAACTCTAGGACAGCATTCACCAGCTTCGGTGTCTGAGGTGCTCAGTTTGGCGTTACTTTGAGAGCTCTATTCGGAAACATGTGCAGTGGCTGTACCCGCGGATGCTAACTTTTGCGAAGCTCGAGTTTGGCTAACTTTGAATTGTCATGTTGGTACCCTACTTGTCAGACTCTTTCTTGGGCAAAATTTGTAAAATTAGACTACACGTTTTATTGCATTTTTCATTTGTGAAGCATACACTTTGTCACACTACAGCAACACTTAGGTGTCGAAGTGTTAATGGTTCAAAAACGCGAGTGTCTCCTTGTGCTTGTAGTATGCAAGTGATCTCACCTACCTGTGAAGTGTGAGATAACGTAAGATGCTTGGTTAGATCACGTGTACTAATGACTCGAATCTCTAACGCACAGGAGTGAAGCTCTGCTGCTAGCACAGATGTCGCCATAGTCTCGAGGCACCGTCTGGCAAGGTAAGCGATCAACTAGCCTGCTGATTTTTGTTTTCTTGTCATATTGTTAAGCATATATTGTGAAATTAGGCTAAGTGCTTTCTTAGATCACGTGTACTAATGACTTTCATCTCTACTGCACAGGCGAGAGGCTCTGCTTGTAGCACAGTCGCTACCATAGTCCCGATGCCCTTTCTGGGTAGGTAAGCAACCAACTATCCTGCACTGTTTTTTTTTTTTTTTTTTAGTTTGTAATGCATGTATTGTGAAATTGGGCTTGGTGCCTAGCTAGGTCACGTTTACTAATGACTATTTGAACCTAGGTGTGATGCCATCATTGTCCCAAGGCACGTTCTGGCAAGGTAAGCAATTCACTACCCTGCGGACCCTATTTTCTTTTTTTTCTTCTTCTTTACTTGTCAGGCTGCTAAGTAAAATTGTGTGACTAGGCTAGGTGCTTGTCTAGATCACGTATACTAATGAGTAATCTAACGCACAGGCGAGAGGCTCTGCTTGTAGCACAGACGCTACCATAGTCCCGAGGCTCTGTCTGGCAAGGTAAGCAACCAACTATGCTGCAGACTGTTTTTCTTTTTCTCATGTTGTTAGCGTATCTTGTAAAACTAGGCTTGGTGCTTGGATAGATCATGTTTGCTAATGCCTATTCTCTGATGCACAGACCAGAAGCTCTGCACCTAGGAGATGCTGCCATTGTCCCGAGGCACCGTCTGGCAAGGTGAGCAATTTGACTATCCGGCCACTGTTTTTTTTTTCTTCTTTACTTGTCAGACTGCTGGGCTTATATTGTGTGATTAGGCTTTGTACTTGGTTAGATTACATGTACTGATGACTCAAATCTCTGATGCACAGGCTGCCCTCACGGCAAAACAGGTTTAATTTTGGCAGATGCCGTTCGTCGAGCATGGTATGCAGTCTTTACCATTTTGTAACTATTTGATTCAACGGGGGCGACATGTTTTCTTTAGCGGCATTAATGATAAATAAAGAGTTAGCGGCCATGCGAAGAGAGAAAAGGCCAGCACTAGGAAGGCATATGGGAGGGGAGGGCAGGGCTGGGGGAGAGGGGGAAAGCACTACGAATGTTAGATAGGAGAGGAGGTTACTCTCCTCACCCGCCTTTCTAGCGCTTGCCCTTTCCCCTCTTCGGGCATTGCCTTAGCCTGTGCTGCGCGCAAGTAGTGACTGGGAATATATTCACCATTGTACAGATTATGATGCACTGGCAGGTAATAGATAATTGGGTAAAATTAATCTGCTCAGTGCTTGAAGACGCAGCTCGCGACTTGCTTGAACACGGCCCACAGGAAACCAGCTGCAAGCTCCCGTTCTCTGCTCAGTGCTTGAAGACGCAGCTCGCGACTTGCTTGAACACGGCCCACAGGAAACCAGCTGCAAGCTCCCGTTCTCATAACGAGCATTACAAATAGCATGCATTATAATATGTCGCTAATAGACCGATCTCACCAGCTAGTTTAAGTACGCCACCGCTGCTGATATTGTCACGGTTGGTGACCAAAAGAAAACAGGAAATAAACAGGGAGAAATAAACGTTTAATGTGGCGAACTTGTGCCGAAAATAAAGATGAAAACAGAAGAAAGCAGAGCGTCGCGGGCGTCGAAGTCGGCGTGTCAGCAGAATCGACCGCTAGGGCGAGACTGACTCGACAAGGTCGCGGGCGGCCTCTTATCTAGAGTGCGCCGCTATCTTGAAGATTCGGCGAAAGCGGTTCGAGCGTCGCGTGATCGGGGCGAGAATGAACACGCACTTTCTAGAAAACAAAAGCAGGGACAAATGATAGAAGTTACGTGCGGTACATGAATAAACGGGAACTTTCTGGAGGACCGTGACCGAGCGTTGCTTTCTCAGCCTTGCGCGCGGCATTACTCCCCCCTTTAAAAGTGCATCGCCCCGATGCAGTGTAAAACAAATCAAAATAAAAAAAGAACGATAAACTAAAGAGTCTTTTGGAGCACAAAAGGTCCACAGTCCTATCGAGCGTAGTACGGCTTCAGGCGGACGACGTGGACGACCTCAGGTCGTGGTGGGCGGCGTGACGATGTTCGTGTTCCGTCGGGCATCACCTCGTAGTTCAGCTCGCCGAGGCGACGAAGTACCTTGTATGGTCCAAAGTACCGTTTCAGCAGTTTCTCACTGAGGCCGCGGCGACGGATGGGCGTCCATACCCACACCCTATCTCCGGGCTGGAAGTGGACGTCCCTGCGACGAAGGTTGTAGCGGCCGGCGTCGACGCGTTGCTGGTCTTGAATCAGGAGTCGGGCGAGCTGGCGAACTTCTTCGGCGCGTTGAGCAACCGCCTGGGCGTCGTCGCTCTCGTTGTCAGATGGCTCATGGGGGCAGCATGGCGTCCAGCATGGTCGTTACCTTCCGACCATGTACCAGCTGGAAAGGGGTGAATCCAGTGGTCTCTTGAACCGCCGTATTGTAGGCGAACGTGACGTAGGGCAGCACCTCGTCCCACGTCTTGTGCTCTACGTCACGTTCGCCTACAATACGGCGGTTCAAGAGACCACTGGATTCAGTGAGAAACTGCTGAAACGGTACTTTGGACCATACAAGGTACTTCGTCGCCTCGGCGAGCTGAACTACGAGGTGATGCCCGACGGAACACGAACATCGTCACGCCGCCCACCACGACCTGAGGTCGTCCACGTCGTGCGCCTGAAGCCGTACTACGCTCGATAGGACTGTGGACCTTTTGTGCTCCAAAAGACTCTTTAGTTTATCGTTCTTTTTTTATTTTGATTTGTTTTACACTGCATCGGGGCGATGCACTTTTAAAGGGGGGAGTAATGCCGTGCGCAAGGCTGAGAAAGCAACGCTCGGTCACGGTCCTCCAGAAAGTTCCCGTTTATTCATGTACCGCACGTAACTTCTATCATTTGTCCCTGCTTTTGTTTTCTAGAAAGTGCGTGTTCATTCTCGCCCCGATCACGCGACGCTCGAACCGCTTTCGCCGAATCTTCAAGATAGCGGCGCACTCTAGATAAGAGGCCGCCCGCGACCTTGTCGAGTCAGTCTCGCCCTAGCGCTCGATTCTGCTGACACGCCGACTTCGACGCCCGCGACGCTCTGCTTTCTTCTGTTTTCTTCTTTATTTTCGGCACAAGTTCGCCACATTAAACGTTTATTTCTCCCTGTTTATTTCCTGTTTTCTTTTGGTAACCAACCGTGACATTTTGGTGGAGGTGCGGGGTACCGCATGCCCGTACAGCGTTCCCCTCCCGGGGCCCGCAGTGCAAGCCCGATTCCAAGCCCTGTGACAACACCACTCAACGCGGAACCTGAAACTCGGACCAGTCGCCGAACCCAAGGTCTACCCCCGGAATACGGACTTCTGCCACCCAGGACCAGGCAGCCTACGAGGCCGACGATGGACGACCAGCAATCGCAGTCCCCGACCGCCGCCGCCGTCGTCTACCTGCCTGTTGCCCAGCGAACCCCGACGACCTTCCATGGCGAGACCCACGAAGACGTAGAGGACTGGCTCCTGCACTACGAACGTGTAGCACGCCATAATGGATGGACCACTGAGCAGCGCCTCCAAAACCTCTACTTCTCCTTGGAGGGTACCGCGAGGCAGTGGTTCGAGAATCACGAGGCGTCGCTTACGTCGTGGGACACCTGTACCGCTGGCCTGAAGGAGACATTCACGAACCAGACACAACGACAGCGAGCGGAAGACCTCCTTCAAGTACGAACTCAAGGGCCCAACGAAACGGTAACCAGCTTCGTTGAAGACGTCCTCCGCCTGAGCAGCCGCGCCGACCCTCAGTCCACCGAGGAAAAGAAGCTGCGTATCCTGATGCGCGGCGTGAAGGACGACATTTTCGGTGGCCTCGTACGCAACCCACCGACGACGATTCAAGAATTTGTAACCGAGGCGACGAACATTGAGCGTGCACTGCAATCCCGAGCCAGCCACTACCAGAGGCTACCCGGCGTCAGCGCGGTTCCGCCGTCCGCTTGCGACCTTGGCTCCAGCATCTCCAGCATTCGCCAGATCATCCGGGACGTCGTCCGGGAGGAAATTAAGAAGCTCCTGCCTGCTACCCACCAGCCGGCTTCGGTGTCAATAGCCGAAGTTGTCCGCGACGAGGTTCAGCGGGCAATTCAACTGGAGGCTCCTGCCAACGTAGCTGCACCCGAGGAGCCCACCGTGACCTACGCCGCAGTGGCCCGACGGCCACCGCCTCCTCCTCGCGCCTATGTCGCGCCGCCCCGACGCCAGTCTCCTGCGCCGCAGCACGACCGACGCCGCGACGACCAGCCCCAGTACGCCAGCCAGGAGCCCCGTGTACCCCGGAAGACCGATGTGTGGCGAACGGCCGACCGACGCCCGCTCTGCTACCACTGCGGGGAAGCCGACCATGTGTACCGCCGATGCCCATACCGACGACTCGGGCTGCGCGGATTCCAGCCAAACGACCCGCGCCCCCGGTATGGTGAACGCCCTCGGGAGATCGACGAGTACCTGCGACGACCCCAGTCCCCCGAGCCTGCGTCCCGCCGAGAGTTCCGGTCGCCATCGCCCCGACGTCCAGCTTCGCCGATGCACCGACCCCGACGTGAAAGCCTGTCACCCCTCGCTCCTCACCGGGGAAACTAGGCGCGGCAACCCCTGGAGGTGGAGTTGCCGAAGACAACCGACGTAAAGAGCCTCCAAGAACGACGGAGCGCTCCCACTCTCCCGACCCCAAGCATCACAACGACGCTCCTGCATCGGTGTCTAACAACCTGAACGTTGTGATCGACGGCCTCGACGCATCGGCACTCGTGGACACCGGAGCAGACTACTCAGTCTTGAGTGGGAGGCTCTCCCGCCGCCTTCGAAAAGTCATGATGCCGTGGGAAGGACCCCAAATACGAACCGCCGGAGGACATCTCATCACACCAGTCGGGAGATGCACTGCTCGCGTCGACATCCACGGTGAAACGTGCCCTGTCAAGTTCGTCGTTCTGCAAGACTGTTCGAGGGACGTTATCCTCGGAATGGACTTTCTCTGCGAGTATGGCGCCGTCATCGATCTCGGAACAAACCGGCTGACGCTACGAAAACCTGCTCCACCAGCGGAGGGACCCCAAGCGACGTCACCCACGGTCCGAGTCCTCGCAAACCACGTAAACCTACCACCGCGGTCGAGTGTTTTCGTACTTGTCGGGATCGATGAAGCTTCCTGTGGCGAAGTTCTTCTCGAGGGAAGCCTCCAATTGCTCCTGGGAAGAGGCATAGGCGTCGCAAGGGGAGTAGCTGAACTTCAGGACGGGCGGACTGTGGCCCTCGTGACGAACTTCCGAAACGAAACGCAA